GGGTTCTCATGTTGCCATCCGGGTCTGAGTCTTCTCCAGGACACCTGCCGGGCCTGCCATGAGCCTCCACCGAGGTGGGCAGCGACACACTGACAGCTTCCCAAGGGGTAGAAGCTGTTTGTACCATTTTGCATAGAGAAGCAGATGACAAGTCAGCTGCCGCAGCCTGGCTGGCTGGGCAAAATGACGGGAGGCGGGGTGGGGGGGGTGATGAACAACTTGTGTACGTTGATACAGCAGGAGTGGGAGCCATTTATTGCAGGACAGGAGCAGTATTTATACATTCCACACAGCTTATCTAATTAGCATAAACTAGATACATCAGTCAACCAATAAGGAATCTCCACACTTAATGGCTCGCTGGCGTTACTTCACAAACCACTCCCTCTGGCATTTTGCCAGGCACCATCCAGACTTGTTTACAGACTCTAACAGCAGGCGCCATCCTGACTTGTTTACAACTCTAACAGTCAGCATCCCAAAGGACACTTTAGGGAGGTCTTAGTACAGGAAGAGGTCCAGGTCATTGCACTTGGAGGAAGGGATGTCAATTTCTTAGCGTTAGGACCCAACAGAACATAGAACTCTGGTGACCAGGCACATTCATTCTAGAGACAGTCCCCTATTCAGCTCACATGAAGGAGATGCACAACAGAGCAGGATTTTTTTTTTTTTTGATGTGTCCAAACCTTCCAAGGTTCTAGGCCCCAAAAGTTTAGAGTGGGAGCATTTTCACATGTCAACTCAGCCCTGACCCAACACCCTTGTGGCAGCTTATCAGGAGGCACCCATGGGTAAAAGAGCAGCCCAGAGAGGACCAATTCAGGCCAGTCCTGTGATCACCCCTGGGAAGTCCTTTGGCCTTCTCTCTCTCTCTCTCTCTCTCTCTCTCCCTCTCTTTCCCTCACTCTGTGGTTGTGGAGACTGTAGGCGACCTGCAATGACAGGAGTAGGGTATCTCATGTTGAAACTGGCAGAATGTTCATGTTTGTACCACTGGACATGCCTGGTTATTAAGTATTGGATCCTAGTTTTGCTACCCAAATATTTATCCAGAGACCTTATTCTGACCCAGTGTCACCACTGTATGGAGGCCTATGTACTTATTCACATTTACCTGATCTGGGTATAAAGATTTTCAATGAAAGTATCCCCTGTGGAGTCAGCCAGGATGGTCAGCGTTAATTTTTGGCCTACATGTAAGACAAACTCTTTGCGAGTTCCATGCAGCTCCTTGTTAATTCTGTCTCCTTGGGGAAAGAGGAAGTTCACCACATCATGAACAATGATATCTCTGGTCTGAGGTTAGATGAGCCTACTGGGGTAGGGTCTCCATAGCAGGTACGGGAGATTTCTAGGATAGGCCAGGACAAATAGCCAAGCATGGGGACTCCTCTAGTCTCTGTCTGAGGACTTGACCACTCGAATGACCTACATTCCCATTGCCCAAGAAATCTAGACTGCATTCCTCCCTTTGGCAACTGAATAGGTGTAAATCTCCAGATTGCACACTTGTAGAAATAACAGAGAAAACATTTTCACATCATTTTCAATGTTTACTAGCCACTGAATATTTTTTTCCTGTGGCTACTGTTTTTGTTTTAGCTACCTGCCCCAGGTAGCCCATGTGCTAGTCATCTCCACTGTACTTACACTCCTTTACAAGACTTAAAAACTCACACCTTTGCCAGGAAAGTGTTGGGACAAAGAGGAGTGAGGGTTGCACAAAGAAATGAGGTAAAAGTACTCTCTAAGTTTTTCAGGACTGTGCCACACCACAAAACAAATCTCTAAAGCCCCATCAGGCCAGCAGCTGTGTCCTCACCTGCCTTCATAATGTTCTAGTGAGAAATGTCATTTCTTGCAGCAGTTCAGCCTTTCAGTGCTGGTGGAATGTGAGGTGATTTAATTACATCTTCATTCAGACACGCTGCAGGGACAGAGTATGTGTGTCCTAGTGGGCTGCCTCAGTACCATATGGCATCAAAAGACAATACCACAGATGGGGGTTTAGGACAGAAGTTTATTTGTCCTAATTCCCAAGGCTACATATCAGGGTGCTGGCTAGAAGGATTTCCTTTGAGGCCCACTCTTTGACATGGAGATTGCCATCTTCTGTCTGTTTCCATGACATTTCCCTGTGCTTCTCTGTGTCCTTATTGCTACTTCTTATAAGGACAAAGTGTTAATTGGATTATCCCTCACCCCAACTAACTGGATTAACACTGATCATGTCTTCATGAGCCATATATTCAAATAGAGTCACAGTCTGAAGGACTGGTACTTAGGATATCCACATATGAGATTTGGGGAGAGGACACAATTCAGCTGATGACCTAAAACAGTCTCCTGCTGAAGACAGACTCCCAGGAAAGGCAATACTGAGTGAAGAAATATGCACAGGGAACATTTTAATAGCCACAGTCAGATTACATCACAAAGAGCTGCAGAAGTTACATTGCCACCAGAAATCTCTGACTGTAGCTGATTCTCTGCAGCCAGGATTCCCTGGGTGTTGGCATTTAAAATTTTTTTTTGTTTGGCTAATCTCCTGTCCACGTGGCAAATAAAATCACACTGCTCCATTCTTTTCCAATTTCCCAACTGACAAACTTGAGTCACTTTCAGTTCATTCTCAGCCATTTGGACTTTTCCTCCCCAGAGTTGTCCTCAGGTTCTGGGCCCCGTAATGTGCTTTCTTGCACCCTGTGGTCTAGGAGGAATCTGAGCTGACAAAGCTTTGTTTCTGAAGACTTTCTGCAACATGAAAGAAGGACAAAGAATTGTATCTCTTAAGCCAAAGGGACCTCCTGGGATGTCTTCTCTAGACTCTCTCTTTAAAATAAGGAAGAAATAATATTTCTCCATACTCCATACAGAAACAAACCAGACATTGAGGAGCTCAGGGGGAATTTTATACAGTTCTCTCTGTGGGGAATTCTCAGTTCTGATGCATGCTGCTGAGAAGCCATGTGATGTCTAGAACCCTGTGTTTTCTCTTCCCTAAACTGGGGATGGTTTTTGAGGACTATGTTGATAATGGCTCCATGGAGACTCTTGATATAAGCAGATACAGTGAGTCCACAGGTGACTAAACACCTTGAAGTTGCTTTGTAGGCACTGCTTGACCATCACCTGACACCATATCAATTTTGTTTCAGAAACTTACGCCTTTTCATCATGGACACTCATGCTGTTCACATGCTCCAATACAACATGTTCAAGCTTCCTTGTCTTGAGCTCCAGATTCCAATTCTGTGCTGATTCGTGGTTCTGCCAATCATTATATGTCCCCCTTTGATCTCCCTTCATGCTACACTCCCAATAAAGTAGTTTTTAGCTGCTCGCCTCTATAGTGCCTGTCCATCTGCGTTTTAAAAACACAGGACTTGGTGGTCTTTTATAACCCTCCAGATCAGCCTGTTTTATAGTTGATAAACCCTGATTAACTGCACCACATTTTCAATGTCAACCTATTTTTTGTTGTGTAATGGTGGGTTGAGATTAATTCTAGTTGATGTTTTCTCTAGGTGTAAACAGAACCAGATTCCCTGGATCCTTGAAAGGGAGTCCCAAGATGACTCAGATATTTGAGAGGGTTCTGTTTGTGTTATAATATGTAATACACTATACTATATACACTATACTATATTATACCTATATCTCACAGATTCTGTGTTTTTTGAATAATTGTCACTTTCCAAGTCTGAAGAAAATACAAAATGTTGCATGAACCTTGTAGCCTGGTGCTGTTTTGGCTTTGGAATGAGACTTGGCTCATCAGGAGTCCCAGCCTAGTTCCTTGTTAGTTGTGGAACTTTGACCACAGAGGAAACAGATATCACAGCCTGGCCATTACGTCTAAGGCCAAATTGCCAAATGAGAAGTTTGCATTTAATGTATTTAAACAATGGAGTCAAGGCTGCGGACAGATTGCATTTGTCCCTCACCTCCTGGTACCCAATTTTCCTTTGTTTGCTGTCTGATTTCTGCAATGGTAAAGAACCTCTGACCAGCATCAAGTGGACACTTCCTGGTTGGAGCTCCTTGCTCTCACTCAGGGCATTGTCTCTCCTGCTCTTTGGACCTGAGAAGAAATACTAGTAAGCAACTGTATCCCTCAATGCTAGCATATAGAGGGTTAGACCAAGCCCCTTACCTCCCTAATGGAGGGCACCCATGGCTCTCAAATCAGGAAGGTGGCTGCTGTGAACTGAGATATGCCGGAGAGAGATTTGAGGGTGTTGTTCCAAATAACAATACTTTACTAGTAGTATTTCTTTAATCACATAAAGGTAATATTCTGAAATATCGGGTTATGTTATTAAAATCAATTTCAACTGTTTCTTTTCTTTTATGATATAAATACTAGAAAAAGTCCTATGCCTTGCATATGGTTTTCATGGGATATCGTTGCTTTAGGGGGTTGCTTCCCAGTTCAAAGTTTAATCTGTCTCCTCACAAGACTAGCGAGCAGAAAAGTTAAATGACATTTTACAGTAACTGTCATTATATTCTTTTCATTCATGAATAATATGGCAACATATACAGTCCATAAGTTGAGATGACCTCATATGCAAGCTAAAGTGCAAATATTCTGATGGTTGGGCTTGACCCTGCTTCTGGGAGGAAAATTTCCCTTAAAATCACTGCAGTCTGGAGCTCTGGGGTGTCCTTTCCAGATCTCAAAGGGAAAAAAAGGAAAAAGAAAAAGAAAGCTGCAGCCTGTCATTCTGGCCTCATGCATGCCTGGATTGGTTGTCCTCTTCTGTCACTCAGAAGGCAGGCTCACTGGGCTCACACTCAGGGGGCGCGGTCTGCAGCCGTGTCCAATGAGGAGCGCGTAGTGTAGTGAGCATTGTCCAATCGTGCTCACGGCTGGCGAGGAGGGGGCGGGCTCCGCAATGCAGCCGAGGCGCTTTTCCCGGACTCCGCCATTCCTGCCCTCAGGCTCGGGGCTCTAGTGGGCACTCTGGAGGCTCGTGCCGCTCTGCTTGCAGGTGCTGACGTCCCTGGGAGCCGGCCTGGCTCGCCAGTGCCGGGAAATGGTGAGTGTGCGGGGGCGTCTGGAGCTTGCGGAGGGGGCCTGGGGAGGGAGACCCTGGTTGCCGCGGGGCCGCTGAGGCGGGAACGGAGCTGACCGCCTGGACTCATGCAGCCCCCGGGGTCTGTGGGCCTGCGCCCCGCTCTGGGGCAGTGTCCTGAGGAACCGGCCCGGTTCCGCAGGGCGTCCTCGGCTGCATCGGCAGGTCGGTTCTGGCCGGTTCTGGCGTGAGCGCGGCCGCTGGCCTCTTCCCTGAAGGCGCGGTGATTGACAAGTTGGACGGCGTCTGGGTTGCCCTGCTCGTGGGATTTCCCTGCGGGAGAGCTGCGGTCTAGGGACCTGGCTTTCCCCTGGGCTAGCAGCTTCTTCTCCTGGTTCTTTCCTGGAGGCTGATCGCAGGGGTGCTTTACCACCAGCTACGTCCTGGTACTTTATCTTTATTTATTTGAGACAGGGACTAGCTAAGTAGCTGAGGTTGGCCTTGTTATGGTTCCATTTATAGAGATTTTTCTATTGTAATGAAGAATGTAATTCTTACATATAGTGGGTTCCTGTATGGACTTGTTTATATTGTGATTCCTTGCTCTTTTTTTTAGTATAATATTTAATATACTTGTGGGAGATAATGTTAGCTACTTTTTTACTCTTGTAATTCAAGTTTCTTGGCTTACTTAACACATTTAATTGTAGATGAGTTTTAGGACTTTTTCCTTTGCTTTCTTTTATTAAAAGTAAAGCATGCTCAGTAGATGCAGAAAAAGTATTTTTCAAAATATAGCACCCCTTTATGTTCAAAACACTAGAAAAACTAGGGATAACAGGAACATATCTCAACATTGTAAATGCTGTCTATGCTAAGTCCCAGGCCAACTTCATTCTAAGTGGAGAAAAATTGAAAGCATCACTTCTAAAAATTGGAATAAGACAGGGATGCCCTCTTTCATCACTTCTATTTAACATAGTTCTTGAAACACTGGCCAGAGCAATTAGATAGACAAAAGAAATTAAAGGGATACAAATAGGAAAAGAAGAACTCAAATTAGCACTGTTTGCTAATTTGACCATATGATTCTATACCTAGAAGACCCAAAAAATTCCACCAGAAAATGTCTAGAACTAGTAAATGAATTTAGCAAAGTAGCAGGATACAAAATCCACACCCATAAATCAAAATCATTTCTGTATATCAGTGACAAGTCCTCTGAAAAGGAAAGGAGGAAAACCACCCCATTTGCAATATCCTCAAAAAACAAAACAAAAAAACCTTGGGAATCAACCTAACAAAAGAAGTAAAAGACCTCTACAACAAAACTACAGAACACTAAAGAAAGAAATTAAAGAAGATTTTAGAAGATGGAAAGATCTTCCTTGTTCCTGGATAGGCAGAATTAATATTGTCAAAATGACCATACTACCAACATCATTATACAGATTTAATGCAATTCCATTCAAAATCCCAATGACATTCCTCATAGAAATAGAAAAAGCAGTTATGAAATTCATCTGGAAAAATAAAGAGACCCAGAATAGCTAAAGCAATCCTTAGCAAGAAGAATGAAGCAGGAGGCATCATCAGACCTAACTATACTACAGAGCAATAGTAACAAAAACAGCATGGTATTGGCATCAAAATAGACTTGTAGGCCAATGATACAGAATAGAGAACACAGAGACTAACCTACACAATTACAGTTATCTTATACTAGACAAAGGTGCCAAAAATATACATTGGAGAAAACATAGCCTCTTCAACAAATGGTGCTGAGAAAACTGGAAATCCACATACAACAAAATGAAATTAAACCTCTATCTCTTACCAGGCACAAAACTCAAAGTGGACCAAGGACCTAGGAATTAAACCAGAGATCCTGAGCCTAATAGAAGAAAAAGTAGGCCCAAATCTTCATTATATCAGATTAGTCCCTAACTTCCTTAATAAGACTCCTATAGTGCAAGAGTTAAAATCAAAAATCAATAAATGGGATGGATTCAAACTAAAAGGCTTCTTCTCAGAAAAAGAAACAATCAGGTAAACAGAGAGCCTATAGCTTGGGAGCAAACTTTTACCACTTGCACATCAGATAGAGCACTAATCTCTAGGCTTTATAAAGAACTCAAAAAACTAAACACCCCAAAACCAAATAACCCAATCAATACGTGGGCCAGGGAAATGAACAGACACTTCTCAGAAGAGGATTTACAATCAATCAACAAATATATGAAAAAACTTTCCACATCTCTAGCAATTAGAGAAATGCAAATCAAAACTACTCTAAGATTTTATCTCACTCCAGTCAGAATGGCAACTATTAAGAATACAAACAAATGTTGGTAAGGATTTGTGGGGAAAGGCACACTCATACATTGCTGGTGGGACTGGAAAATGGTGCAGCCAATATGGAAAGCAGTTTAGAGATTCCTTGGAAAACTGGGAATGGAGCCACCTTTTGACCCAGCTGTCCGACTCTTCGGTGTGTACCCAAAGGACTTAAAAATAGCATGCTACAGGGACACAGCCACATCAATGTTTATTGTACCACAATTCACAATAGCTAAACTGTGGAACCAACCTAGATGCCCTTCAGTAGATGAATGGATAAAGAAAATGTGGTACATATACATAGTGGAATATTATTCAGCAATAAAAGAGAATAAAATAATGGCATTTGCAGGTAAATGGATGGAGTTGGAGAATATAATGCTAAGTGAAGTTAGCCAATCCCCAAAACCAAATGCCAAATGTTTTCTTTGATATAAGGAGGCTAATTCATAGTGGGTTGGGAGGGAGAACATGGGAGGATTAGATGAACTCTAGATAAGGCAAAGTTGTGGGAGGGGAAGGGAGGGGGCATGGGGTAGGAAAGATGGTGGAATGAGATGGACATCATAACCCTAAGTACATGTATGAAGACACAAATGGTATGAATATACTTTGTATATGACCAGAGATATGAAAAATTGTACTCTATATGTGTAATATGAATTCTAATGCATTCCACTGTCATATATAACAAATTAGAATAAAAGATTTTTAAAAAAGTAAAGCATGCTGAATTGTTAATTTTTTAAAATTTGTTTTAATTAGTTATACATGACAGTAGAATGCATTTATGCACTTTGATATATTGTACATAGAGGAGGTTTAATTCTACAACATTGTTCATGTTCTAGAATCACATCGGTTATGCAGTCATATATGTACATAAGGTAATAATGTCCATTTCATTCTATTAACCTTCCTATTCCCATATCCCCTCCCATTCCCTCCCTTCATTCCCCTCTAAATCTTAAGGTAATTCTATTCTTCCCTAGTATCCGCATATCAGAGAAAAGATTTGGCCTTTGGTTTTGGTGACTGGCTTATTTTGCTTAGCATAATATTCTCCAACTCCATCCATTTACCTGGAAACACCATAATTTTATTCTCTTTTAATGCTGAGTAATATTCCATTGTGTATATATACCACAGTTTCTTTATCCATTTACCTATTGAAGAGCATCTGGCGGGGAGACGGTTCAACAGTATACCTATTGTGAATTGTGCTGCCATATACATTGATGTGGCTGCATCACGGTAGTTTGATGATTTTTTGATGATTTTAAGTCCTTTGGGTGTAGGCTGAATTTTTTTATTAGTGCATTACATTTATATATACTATTGAGGTTTATTTTGACATACATCATCAAGCATGGAATATAATATGCTCCATGTCAGGCCCCAGTACTTCCTTTGCCCTGTCTTCCTAATCTTCCCCATTCGCTGTTTCCTGGTCTATTTATTTATTGATTTTAAAACTCCTGCTTCATAGATATATATAAAATGAAATTCACTATGATATTTTAACATATGTACAAAGGAATTTTGATGGGAAAATATTGGAGATTAATTTTGGGGAAAATGGTCATCTTTGTAATGACGGGTTTTGTCACATCTACACATGGGATGTGTGCTTGAGTCTTTCATGTGCTTTTGATTATTTTTATTTTGTCATAATTTCTACATACTTTATTTTTCAACATGTATACATGTGAAATACCACATGCAGGTGACACCTATATAAAACTTAAATGTGGTGCTTTGTACTATTTTAAAACTGGATATGATATGAGCAAGAATGTGGCTGGCCCCTAATAACCATTTTCCCCACAGTTCCTCATTTATCTCTTCCAAAATGTACATTCTCCTGAACCATCCTCCTGGGTTTCCCATGTTTGGATGAATACAGCTGTGTTCTTACATGTTGTCATGGACACATGTGATTTCCCTAAGTCTCTGTGGTGGTTTTGGCCATTTTGCAAGGCATACATTTATCAAAACATCATGTTTGACACCATAAATGTAGGCAATTTTTGTCAGTTAAAGTAAAAAAATAAGAATTTTTAAGGTGAGTCAATTTCATGTTCATGTGAAATGAAAGTGGAAAGCAATTTAAAATTTGTAATGATAGGTTTTCTTACTTACAAGTTCAGCACAGGCTGAGAGGGGCATTATAAAAAGCATCTACTTCCCAGAAGATGAATGTTAAAACAAACAAACAAATAAAATTCTAAGTTGTATCTAGCATCAAATTTTTGAGAAAGGTTTGTTTGATATAGATGGATGCTCCTTTGTTTGCGGCATAGATATTTATTATTGTTATGTTTTGTTGATGTATGATTCCCTTAAGCAGTATGAAATGACCTTCTTTATCCTTTCTGACTAACTTTGGTTAGTCCACTTTAGCTCATATGAGGATGGAAATCCCTGCTTGTTTACATGGTCCATGTGAGTGATATGTTTTTCCCCATCTTCAGTCTGAATGTCTTTTCCTATGAGATAAGTCTCTTAAAGGCAGCATATTGTTGGGTCTTTTTTTTTTTTTTAATCCATTCTGCCAGTCTTTGTCTTTGTCTTTGTCTTTTAACTGATGAGTTTAGGCCATTAACATTCAGGGTTATTATTCATTTTAACTTGACTTGCTTTCTCCTTTGTTTGGCATTTTTTTAGTGTAGCCAGCATTGCCATAACAACTGGGAAATCTTAACCCTGTACTTGTGCACAGGGAAATGTTAACCCTATACTTTCATATGGAGGAATACTAGCACAAGCGCACCACAATCACAAGTTAGTCAGACACCTTGATTCTCAGCACCACACCCCATACTCAATTTGATCCTTGTTCTGTGGATACCTTTTTGAGGAGAGCATTTGACAAGCACCTTATCCCACAGCAGGTAGGTTTCTTGGCATATTTTAGCCACCTTCTTTTAAAAGGTATGATTGATGATTTCTGTTTTCCTGTAGATTGGGGTCTTCAGAATACATATTTCCATTATATATGCAATATTTTGCTCACTCATAGGTCAGTTCTGCAATGAAAGATAGTCCCTGTTAGTTTGTATTGAGGGGAGCCCATAACTTGGGATCAGCTCCTTTAAGAGGACTAGTGTTCTGAAGTCTTTTCTGTTCTGGTAGAATCAGCCTGACTCACAGAGAATGTATCTACCAGTACAAGCAAATATTTATAGGTTTATATGAATGGGCATTTGGGTAAAGTATGCTTGTCAGTCATCAGAAGGCTATGTTTTTATACCCTAAGTGTGTATTAGACTTTGAATTGTTTGAGTGCAGAAGATACAGTTCTGAATCACTTGCTGAACAGTCCACTGGAGGCGTGGCCCTCACAAGTGGGCTTGATGAAATCGACACCCTTCCCCTAGTAGCACTCTCCTTGGAGTGTTTCATCAAGAACAGAGGGTGCTTCAGGAAGAGGGGTGAGCCTATGCGATTTCTGTCTGCACCTGGCACTGTTGTCCCAGAGTCCCAACTCCATTCTTTGCCCCTTTTCTCATTACCCTCAGTATAAACAGATTTGGAATTGGTTTGCTACAAGCTGAGATGCTAGGGCCCTGACAAAGGAGTTTGTCCTTCCTGACACTTTTGATTGCCCTGTCAGCAGCCTGATTTCTCCTGGCCACACAGGCAGGTATCAGTTGTCTCAAGGCAGGATAGTGCAGGATTACCACCTTCTATGGGGTGGACACAGCCTGTATTATTGACAGTATTTTCAAGGGCATCCTTAGTGTCCTCTTCTCAGCTGTGAGGAATCCTCTTTCTTTCCAGGTGTCTCCATGTGCATGTACCATCTTGGAGGCATGTTTTTTTAAAAAAAAATTTTATGTATTTATATTTAGTTGGACACAATATCTTTATTTTATTTTATTTTTATGTGGTACTGAGGATCGAACCCAGGGCCTCGCACGTGCTAGGCGAGCGCTCTACCACTGAACCACAACCCCAGCCCCTTGCTTACCTTCTTTCCTTTGGTCTGTCAGAGCTCATGTGAGAGAACTTAGCTTGGTTTTCTGGGCTGATGTTGTTAGCAGCAGAGTCTCAGCCTGTTGTGCCATGACTGCAGAATACCCAGATATCCACTGGCCATTGCCTATGAACTTGCTTTCATTGGTGAAGACACTTTAGTCTGGCAAGTCATCTTGAGCAGTCACATTGTATTGGGCCATTGTCATCTGCTGGCAACAGGTTTCCTTGATTTAAGGTGGCATGGTTTCTCTTGAAGCTGACATTTAGATTGTCAAAAAGGATGGCCTGGAATCTCCCTACCCTCCCAGCAGTCAGCTGACACCCATCCTGTTTTAGTAGGACAGGACTTGGTGAGCAACAAACCCAGTGATGGATTGTTCTAGAGTGGGTTTCTAAACCTCTTGTGGTAAATCACTGGTGTCAGTCACACCCCACAGGACCCTCCTTTCATGGTGTGGTCAAGCTGTCCCACACACAGGCTACTGGTTGCAGTAAACCTCCAGTGTGTGTAAGAGAACTTTAGCATCTGTACCTTGTTTCTCATTCACATAGAGTCTTAACACCTTCTGTGAGTCAGACACAGAAGGGGCTAGGCAGGGGCTCTCATGAGACTTTGTTTTAACTTCTCAAAGGCACCTTGGCATTCTGGTGTGTAAGTGAAATGTTTTATTTATTTCTTTTAAGGCCTCATACAAGAGTTTACCTGTTAGTCCACAATTAGGGACCCAATTATGGCAGCATGTTGACTGTTCTAGTCCACTTTTTCAGTGCTATGACCAAAATTCACAGCAAGAACAATTTTAGAGGAGGAAAAATTTATTTGCTTGTTCCCAGTGTCAGAAGTCTCAGTCCATAGGTGGCCAACTCCATTCCTCGGGGTGAACATCATGATAGAAGCCTGTGCTGGAGAAAAGCAATCGGGAACAAGGTGCCAGGAAGCAGAGAGAGCTCTGCTCAAGAAGGAAAAAATATAAACCCCAAAGGCATATTCCCATGGACCCACCTCCTCCAGCCACACCCTGCCTGCCTACAGTTACCATGCTGTAGCTGTCAGGGGTTAATACACTGACTAGGTAAGACTGTCATAACCCAGTCACTTCATGTCTGAACCTTGCAGTGTCTCATACATGAGCATCTTGGGGACAATTAAAATCTAAATCATAACATTGACATTTCCAGGAGCCCATGTACCTGTCTCTGGTCCTGACTTATTTATCGCTCAAGCTAGTATGCTTTTTATCTGACATTGAGATTCAGGTCATTGGCTAATCTGGAATCCCAGGTGGGTGACATGTTTATGAAATAAGCCATTTTAATGGACACCTCATATCCACATGAGCTGTGGTGGTTCAGTGCAGCAATAATATTTGAAAAATCAGAATTAATAGTTGGGCTGAACTGTAAGTAGATCCTTCTCATATCTTGAAAGTGTGTCACCAAGCCTGGGTCAATAGTGTGTTTGAAAAAAAGGACTCTATCCCAAATTCATGTATAAGTTTTTAAAAATTGAAGATATTTCTTTCATTCACATTAAGTCGTTGTTTTACTATATAAAAAGTTGACATTTTTATGTCTGTGTATGGAAAATATAAATATCATTTGATCAATTTGATTTTGTTGTCTTAACATATTTCTAAAACTGATCTCATTTATAATAACAGCCTTTCTCTGAAAACTCTTTTATCATTCACACTTTCTTTTGACATTAGTGTTTCTTTTCTTCTGAATTCCAGACCAAACAAACTTGGTAATAATCAAGCCCTGCCATTTACTGAATGCTTCATATATTTTCACAAAAAAAATGAATACTCTTACTGCTATCCCATTATTTTGGGTTTTATGAATTAAGATATGAAAAACTCTTAGAGTGATATGTACACATTTCAAATTATCAAAAAGAATTGTTGGTTTTTGCTATTTAATAACACACATAAATCTTATTCAATATTTGAATATCAATGAATGATTCTTTTAGTGGTCTACCTCCTTGCAATCCAAGTTTTTCTTGTATTGCTGTTATTGAAATCACCAAAGAGCTTGCCACATATTCATAAAACCAGGCTTCATCTTAGAACTACTGAATCAGGGTCTCCTTTTTATTAAATCTCTGATTCATGGTTGTACAATTAAAATTTGAGAATTACCCTTCCATAACTCTCTCATGTGAGGAATATACACAGTTTATCCTTTGATATATAAAATAACAATTAAAATGTCTATTCTTGTGTATGCCTTAATTTTATATTTTACTTTATAAAAGTCAAGTATATGCACTCTTTTTGGACTTACATCCCTTTTTCCTTGGCGTTAGATCATAGAGAGTATCACTGTGTTCAAAAGTATCTCACTAAATACTGAAAGTCCCTCACTTACAAGACAGCCATTTGAACTAAATCTTATTTCAACTTCAGTTAAATTTAAAACTCTGTGAATGGTCATGTGGCCAATGTGCTATTTACATACAATTTCTATTCCAGAAACTGTTGACATTCAAGGATGTGGCCGTTGATTTCTCTGAAGAGGAATGGGAATGCCTGGAGCCTGCTCAGCAAAATTTATATGCAGACGTGATGTTAGAGAACTACAGAAACCTGGTCTTCCTTGGTGAGGATGACTTCCTTTCAGAATTCCTAATTAATTACTATATTTAATTCTCTTACAGAATATCTTTTGGGAACTTCTCTACAATAATAATTTTCAGATTTGTGCTTTCAAGAAAAAAGATAGGGGGCTGGGGATGTGGCTCAAGCGGTAGCACTCTCGCCTGGCATGCGTGCGGCCCGGGTTCGACCCTCAGCACCACATACAAACAAAGATGCTGTGTCCACCGATAACTAAAAAATAAAATATTAAAATTCTGTCTCTCTCTCTCTCTCTCTAAAAAAAAAAGATAGGGCATGCTTGGATACAGATAGAATATTAATTATGTTTCTTTTAGTCTTTAATCTTTCCCTTTCTTGGTGTGACATCTGTCATGCTTTCAGATTGTCGTTTTCCTCCACGGATGCCCCAGTTCATCCCAGTTACCCACCACAGCACTTCCCTTTGCTTATGAGGGTCAGCATGATCTGACAGCGCTTCCAGTATTTGTGGGTCTCTTGGATATCTCTGCCAATATTTGGAGAACTCTAAGTCAAATCATTGTAATATATTAACATCATAAATCAGTTTCTCTTACATTATTTGTATATTTATTCATTAAAATTCCCTTATCAGAGCTCTTTTTGAATGCTAGTAATGGATTTCCTGTGAAGTTTTCTGCCATGTAATGAATGTCAAGATTCACAATGGCTGCTCTTTTTGGGTCTACAGTTACAGGTATAAATTGTATTTATACAAAAGGGTTTATAAAATAATGCATCTGTGGTTATTTACGATTTCGTTTTTTTTTCTTTCATTTTATAAAGTAGGCTTTCTCACATCAGTTATACTGTTTTATTTTGTGATTAGATGGCAATTTCCATCATTTCAAAAATTAGGACAATGGAAGTTGAAATTAAAATATGATTAAACCACATTTCTGTTGCCAATAAAATTACACGTGCTTTTACTTGCTTTGATAAATATTACACCTGTTTTTTTTTAATGACTTGTATATTTTACCTGCATTGGTTTTTCATCCTGCCTATGTACATAGTAATGAAAATTTTCTATCTGTAAATTTAATGGAGATTGAATTCCAGGGTACTGTAATAATAAGCTACATCCCCTGCCCCTTTTTATTTATATTTGGAGAAATGTTCTAAGTTATCAAGGATGGCTTTGAATTTACAATCCTCCTGCCTCATAATTGCCAGAAGCAGAGATTATATGCATAACCATCAATTACATATTGATGAATTTATTTTTATTTATAGGTTAAAACCATAGCATTTTAATGGTAGCTTTCAAAAATTTTGCAATTCCATTTAACTAATGTGTTGTTTGAAATTGTGATTTTGTTCAAAACCACAAAACAAAACTTGCTTTCTTCAATATTTTTTTTTTTAAATTGGGCATAATATCAATAGATGTAGTTGTGTTTTAGTACATGGTGAGTTTAGTATATTGTACTTTTGATAAATGCTAATAGAATGAATGTAATGCCTTCTCAGCACACAACTGATAATTATGTGAAAAAATGCATGCATTAATTCACTACATTTATTCATTTTACCATGTATTTCAAAATATGACATGCTTAGTACATATATAAAATTTGTCAATGAAATAAGTCCACAAATAACAAAAAGTACAAGTTGTGTGTCTTGATTGCCATGTGTTGGCTTCATCCAGGTAATGTGGTCATAGGCCATGCTTGGTTTTATTGCTTCTTAAGCTTTTTTTCATGGTGAATCTTTTTGAAGCATGTGTGTTGTTTTTTCCAATTTAATATTTTTGTTCATATTTCTTCTTCATAGTCTATAGTGTCTTTTTCCCTGTTGAACATCTCTGTGGTAATTTCATCCAAAATCTTTCTTACCTCCAGGTGTCTGTGTCATGGCAGTTAGAAACTAATTATCACACATTCTCCATGAAAGCCACACATATTTGTATAAGTTTCATATTTCCCTTATACTACTGAGAGTGAAGGGAGTTGATAGATTTTTTTTTTCTAATTGCACAATGCTAAATTGTGGAGGAGGGTAGAGTGTGGTTGATAAAAGGAACACAGTTTCCTTCCCTCTACTATATTCTTCTCCTTAGTAATGTACTCATCTTGGATCCTTTGTTCTCTACAATGGTTTGGGCAGTCTCACAAGTTTGTACGTTTTTATTTAGTCTATGTATTCCTGAAGTAATGATTCATGTCTTGGATTTACTGCTGATGTCCTCACATGGGTAAAATTTTGTTATCTTTGCTAAATATATTCACTCCAGTCCAATAAGTAAAATAATTGTTATTTTCGTTTATTTCAGCCACAACTTCTCATCATATCCATGAATCTCCACCAGAGCAGGAAATAAAATCTTTATTTCAAAAAATGATGAAGGGAAGGTATGAAAATTGTGACTTTGACTATGTACAACTAAGAAAAATAAGGGAAACTTAAAGTGAGCGTGAAGGTTAGAAATCATTACAAAGGACAAAGCCAATTAGCAGTGACTGTTTGTAATGTAATGTAATGCCAACAGACATCCAGAACATTTAATACAACAGAGAAGAATTCAATTTATGCCAGTTATTTTGAGGAGCTATGTATGTCTTTAAGAATACATCCACAGCAATTTTTGAAACTTACATTTCCTCTGAAAGGAAATGTGGAAAATTTGAAAAGAGATCTATTCCGTGCTTTCATTTTTAACTTGACCAATTTTAAATGCATTGAGTTAAAGTTCTAGTCAAACAATTGAGTAGATAAGAGATTTAGAAGTAAAGGACACACAATATCAGGGGGTGGGGGTGCGACTAGGGAAGAATAGAGATACTTTGGGTTATCAGAAGGAAGTGAAAGGAGAGGAGGGGACATAGAGCTAGGAAGGACAATAGAATGAATTAGACATTATTACTGTATGTGCATATATTATTACACATTCATTGTAGCTCTACATCATGTACTACCAGAAGGATGAGAAGTTATATTCCATTTATGTATGATGTATCAAAATGCATTCTACCGTCATGTATAATAATAAGAACAAATTTTAAAAAGTTAAGGACAAATTTCTAAAAGTGATCCTTTTGAGAGTTCCTATACACAGTGTTATTCTGCAATAAAACAATAATTTCTCCTTTTGCTCAAACATACAATTATAATGATTTTAGGGAAGTCCTTAGTTACCCACTATTGTTTAATGAACATTCAGATATAGATTTATGGAAAGTATACTACATACATAATGAAACAAGTAACACCTTTAGCCAAGTCTTTACCCTGGTTAATTACCAGTGTGTTTTTATTTGTGATAAAAATTTTGAATATAGAGACACTCATGAAAATTTAGTATTGGTTGCAATAAATCATTAGTATGTTCACTTTTCCAAGACCCTTTACAAAGATAAACAATGTGGGAAAGCCTTACTTCAGTGCTCAAAACTTACTACCCATCCAAATATTCATAGGCAAAACCAGCCTTGCAAGTGTAAGGTGTGTGAAGGAGCTCTTCATCAAATTGCAAAAGTTCCTCTATAGAAGATAATTTATACTGGAAGGGGGTTCTATGGGTTTAAAGAATGTATCAAAGCATTTCATTGTTCCACCCTTTTTAAACCCCACAGATACCATGACAGTGATAAACCCCACAAATTTAAAGAATGTGGCAAAATTTTTAATCAGAGATCACCTCCTGTTAAACATCCGAGGATTTATGCTGGAAAGAAGCCCTGCAAATCTAAAGAATGTGGCAGAGTCATTAACAATTACTCAACCCTTTCTGAATGTCTCAGACATCATAGCACTGAGGGAAAAAAAAGCTCACTTGGCACTGAACACCTGATAATTTGTACTGGAGACAGATCCCAAAAATGTAAAGAATGTGCCAAAGTCTTAAAAAATGTTTCAATCCTTACTCAACACCAAAATACTCATACTGCAGAGAAGCCCTACAAGTGTGAAGAATGTGGCAAAGGTTTTAATAGAAGATCATTGCTTACTGAACACCAGATAATTCATACTGGAGAGAAGCCCTACAAATGTAAAGAATGTGGCAAAGGTTTTAATCAAAGATCATATCTTAAAGAACACCATAGAATCCATACTGGAGAGAAGCCCTACAAATGTAAAGTATGTGACAAAGCCTTTACTAAAAGTTCCTTTCTTACTGAACACCATAGAATTCATACTGGAGAAAAGCCCTACAGATGTGAAGAATGTGGCAAAGATTTTAAACGAAGAATATTGCTTACTGAACACCAGAGAATTCATACTGGAGAGAAGCCCTACAAATGTGGAGAGTGTGGCAAAGCTTTTATTCGGAGATCATTGCTTACTCAACACCAGAGAATTCATACTGGAGAGAAGCCCTACAAATGTGGAGGATGTGGCAAAGCTTTTAATCAAAGATCGTATCTTATTTGCCACCAAAGAATTCATACTGGAGAGAAGCCCTATAAATGTGAAAAATGTGGCAAAAATTTTAATCAGACATCAAATCTTAAAAAACACCAGAGAATTCATACTGGGGAGAAGACCTACAAATGTGAAGAATGTGGCAAAGTTTCTAATCGAAGATCATTTCTTACTGAACACCAGATAATTCATAGTGGAGAGAAGCCCTACAAATGTCAAGAATGTGGCAAAGGTTTTAATCATAGATCATATCTTAAAGAACATAAGAGAATTCATACTGGAGAGAAGCCCTACAAATGTAAAGTATGTGACAAAGCCTTTACTAAAAGCTCCTTTCTTACTGAACATCATAGAATTCATACTGGAGAGAAGCCCTACAAATGTGAAGAATGTGGCAAAGGTTTTAATCAAACGTCAAATCTTAAAGAACACCAGAGAATTCATAGTGGAGAGAAGCCCTACAGATGTGAACAATGTGGCAAAGGTTTTAATCAAATAACAAATCTTAAGGAACACCAGAGAATTCATACAGGAGAGAAGCCCTATAAATGTCCAGAATGTGGCAAATCTTTTATTCGAAGATCATTTCTTACGGAACACCAAATAATTCATACTGGAGAGAAGCCCTACAAATGTACAGAATGTGGCAAAGATTTTAATCAAAGATCATGTCTTAAAGATCACCAGAAAATTCATACTGGAGAGAAACCCTACAAATGTGGAGAATGTGCTAAAGCTTTTATTCGAAGATCATTGCTTACTCAACACCAGAGAATGCATACAGGAGAGAAGCCCTACAATGTTAAGAATAGGGCAGAGGTTTTAATGAAACACAAATCTTAAAGAACAGAGAGAGTTCGTAAGCAGATGGATGACTCAGGAGGTTGGATGCAATCAAATAAGGAAGAAATCCCTAGCACCAGTTACGTGGCCCCTCCACAAGCAAATTAGAGGGATAAGGGCTTTAAAGGAGCCCACATTTTTAGGAGGCCTGTAGCATGTCTGGGTACAGAAAGATCAGAGATCAGTCACTGCTATACTAACCTGAAAGGTATAATGTGCATAGTATCAGTATCCTAGGGCAGTAAAGAAGCCACTTCCCTCTAACACCCTACACAGGTCAGAGGAGGGAGCCATTTTGCAGCTGTGCTGTGGAAATTGGCACCTGGGGGAGCCTATTCCAGGGAAACCCAACCTGGACCTAAACTACAAGCCAGGCAGACCCACACCACATGACAAAGAGAGTGCCTAAGTGATGAGGAGAACAAACGGGTTTACACGGGGTGATACAGGTCATGGAAACCCACCCTGTTTCCTTCTCTCCTTGAGTCCAGCAGCTCACAGGACAACCTGGGAGAGACTTGCCTGCCCAGGAATTTGAAAGGACAGGAGTGGGGGTGATTGTGTTTGGAGATCAAACCCTAGAGAATAGAAAAATGGGGTCAGTGAGTGATGGAGGGGACAAAAGATTGGTGCCTTAGACACAAGGGGAACCGAGGGGAGATACTGGAGTTCAGTCCCCCACCATGGACTGGCAACTGCTGGGACCTGTAGGTACACTGATTTAAAATCTTCATATCAATCACCATTCAAAAAAGAGCATGGAGCCTACCTCAGCCTAAATTTCACTTCCAGTATCTGTTTTCAGGATCTCTCAGACACCAATGATCCCTCCCTGTGTGTGGCACAAACATCACATTCCAGCCCACCTCCCACCCAACACTGCTGAGAAGGGAAGCCAAGAATTTTTTGAACTCCAATGGAAATAGCTTTTAAAAGTTTTCAATAAAACCTTTAATTTTTTTTTTTAATTTTGTTTACTGTGATCTGAGTGATTCATGGACAATTATACATATGCATATTTGTTTCTGCTCATTTCTAGCATTTTTTGGAGGCAGTTATTTTTTCATGGCTTGGCATTTTGAGGGCTGTTTGATTAGCATATTTTGGTTTTGTATTCTTTTAGTTCTAACTTATTTTTACTTTACATATTTTTTCTCACTTATCTATTTTTCTTGAGTCTCTTTCTTTAATTCTGCTAACAGCAAAAGTCTATTCTCTCTTTCACACTTCCTTTAATTTATTTCTTCTATCTTCTCTCCCCCCTCATAACACCCCATACTACTATTGCTTCCATTTACTCCCTGTTCACTATGAAAATTGTAAACCCTTTTGAAAACTTACTGTTTTTAATGTGGACAAAACCACATCACATCATTTCTGTTTATTGTGATAAATAACATTGTAGACATCAAAACAGGAACTATTTGCTCTAATGCTGTATGTTATTTGTCTCTAATGCTGTATATTGTTTGTTTGGCCTGTTATGGGCCAGGCTATATAGGAAGTGACCAAACAGACTCCATTTTACCCTGAGACTCCACATCATGTAAGAAGTGCTTCTCCTGTGGGAACACCTGCCTCTGTATCCATCAGTTGTGGCGTAGCATAGCATATTTGGCAAAAAAAAAAAAAAAAAATTCTTATACAATGTAAAATTGTTCTCTTTTTGATTCCTGTATTTTTTGGACAATGTACCCTGTCAGAGATTATCTAAACATTAGTAATCATTCTTTAACTTGTACTCAACTAGGGATGTTTTGGCCCACTCCCCTTTCTACTTATGATTTTAGATCTCATGATATTAGTTTATGGTTTTGAATTGTAGTAACAGCCACTTATGATCAATATGGTTTTGGACTATAAAGGTATACTCAAACTCTAGGAGGGGGTCAAAGGTTGTAGACTTGCAGTCTATCCGTGGCCCATCTGATGGTAAATCCAGACTACCACTTAATGAATCAAGTTTTCTTCTCCTGCTTTAATATCGACTTGGTGATTTATTGTAATCTCATCACAACACCCCTAAGCTGTGAGGTACTGAAAACCTTCAAAGACACTATAAGTCTACAGGGTGGAAACTCAGCTGCATAAAATCCATACTGTTCGATGGGTAGACACACAAACAATATGAATAAGCAAGGGAACAAAACATCACAAGCAAAGCATAATACTACAATAGCAGATTTCTTTGATGTTACATGGAAGAAATGCCAGAGCAGGGGTTTAGAAAGTGCATACTTAAACTGATCTGTGTGGCAAAGGACAAAGTAAAGAGTGTAATCAGAAAATACAGGAAGTGAAAGATCACTTCAATGAAGAGAGATTTGGGGAAAAAGTCAAGCAGAAATCCTCAAAATTTGGGGCTGGGGTTGTGGCTCAGCAGTAGAGTGCTCACCTTGCACGTGTGAGACCCTGGGTTCAATCCCCAGCACCACATACAAAAATAAACAAGTGAAATAAAGGTGTTGTTTAAACTAAAAAATAAATATTTAATAAATTAAAAAAAGAAATCCTCAAAATTATGGAATCAATAAACCAAATTAAAAATTCAACCCAAAGCATCACTGGCTGAATAGACTATTTGGAAGATAGAGTTCCACACAAGAAAAACAAAATATGTAATTTTGAGCATAAGGTTGACTCTGAAGAAAAGATGTTAGGAGTCGATAAACAGAACTTCCAGGAAATTTGGGACAACATGAAAAGACCAAATATAAGATTTATTGGGATAAATGAAGGCTCAGATACAAACTAAAGTAATGCACGGTGTTCTCAAATATATTTGAAAATTTCCCATATCTTAAAAATTAAATGGAAAATCAAATGCAGGACCACAAAGCTCCAAATACGCAAAATTAAAACATGCTCACACAAGGCACATTATCATGAAATGGTCTGCCATGCAAAATAAGGATAGAATTTTAAAGGCTGCCAGAAAAGCTGACGGGTCACATTTAAAGGGAAATCAATCCAGGTATTGGTTGATTTCTCAGTCCAGACTCTAAAGGCTAGCAGGTCCAGGAATAATATACACCACACTCTGAAAGAAAATGGATAGCAACCTAGACTATTATGCCCAGCAAAATAAAGCTTCAGAATTGATGATGAAATAAAAATCTTCCATGGTAAGTAAAAGTTAAGAGAATTCACAATTAGAAAACCTGTACCACAAGACATATTCAAGAAAATGCTTCATGAAGAATATTTAGAATACCTATACAATGTAGAAAAATAAAATTGAAAACCAGCAAAGGGAGGAATTACACTAGAAGAATATCAAAGGAGAAAGTATTCAAATTAAAAACCATAAATAAAAATGGTGAGCAATAAAAAGTATTTCTCAGTAATAACATTGTAAAAATCAATCAAAAAGCTATAGACTAGCGGATTGGATTTAAAAACAAGACCCAACAATATGTTGTCTCCAGGAGACTCACCTCATAAGCAAAGACATCTGCAGACTCAATGTAAAAGATCACACTGGGTGACTTCCTCTCTCACCACTGGACAGATCCTCCAAATAAAAACTAAAGAAGGGAGCTATTGAACTTAAATGAAATATTGATAATTTAAATGTTACAGACTATATAGAATATTTTATCCATCAAAGACTAAATACACTTTTTTAGCAGCACATGAATCCTTCTCTAAAATAGACTATATCTTAGGCCACAAACAACGCTTAGCAAATTAAAAAAAAATAGAGATACTACCCTGCATTCTATCAGATCATAATGGAATGAAATTAGATATCAATGATAAAATAAAACATAGAAGCTACTTTAACACCTGGTGACTAGGTAATATGATATTAAATCACCAATGGATAGCAGAAGAAATCAGAGGAGAAACAAAAAATACTTAGTGGTAAGTGAGAATAGTGACATGGTATATCAAAATCTCTGGAAACTGTGGAGGTTGTTCTAAGAGGAAAGTTGGTTGCATGAAACTCATTCATTAAAAGAATACAAAGTCACGTGCGCGCGCACACACACACAAAGCCTAACATAGGTCTAGATAGATAAGACTATCTAAAGCAGGAGAAGAGAGGAAATAATTAAAACCAGCCAAAGTTGATGAAATTGAAACAAAATATAAATATCAATGAAACAAAAAGTTGACTCTTGGGGGAAAAAAAAGCAAAATTGATAAACCCTTAGCCAAGTTAGCCAAGAGAATGAGGGAAATTTTTTAAATTACTAAAACCATGACAAAGAAGGAAGTATCATCATGGACATTATTGAAATACCAAAGAGAATGAAAACCTATTCTGAAAATTTGTATTTCAATAAAATAGAGAATCTTGAAGACTTCAACAAATTCCTAACCCTAACCCTAACTTACACTCCATGTATGTATAATATGTAAAAATACACTACTGTCATATATAGCTGAAAAAAATTTTAAAATTAAAAACAAAAGAAAAATGTATTTGAGGGATTTTGTACTCAATTTTAATTTTTAAATTTCCATTTTTTGTTCTGTGTATTGCACTCAGGGATGCATAACCACTGAGGAACATCCCCAGCCCTTTGTTATTTTTTATTTTGAGACAATATCTCACTGTGTTGCTCAGGACCTTGTTAAATCACTGTGGCTGGCTTTAAACTTGTGAAAGTCCTTAATCAACCACAAGGATTACAGGACAAGGATTACAGGCATGGGCCACCATTCCCAGTTTACAGTGAATTTTTACTTGTATTCACATTATATATGAAATTTTTACTACATAAAAGTAAATGTCAACACTGTCATGTAATGAATCATGTCATTATGTCAGATATCACACTATTCCACTTTACTAGAGGACCTATGTAACAGTAAAACATAATATTGGGTAAATAGTGCCTTAATAGCCACATCTCCATTAATTCTTTTACACATTTTATTAAGACTGTATTTGGGAATTGCCATTTGCATAAATTAGCTCTTTACACATTTTTTCTGTTTGTAATGATGAACAAATTAAGAGAGTTATAGGAATGATATGAGGATATGAAAATAAGCACCAGATTTACGTATCTTCAATTTCAACGTTAACATCTTTATAGAGTGACAATACTTCTATAGGCCCTGCAACTCTGCAGAGTTATGAACTCATCTCAAGGCCCTAGCACTTTCTCCCTTCAGGGATTTGGCCAGTCTTTGTAAAGTGAGGAAGCGTCCTTGAGGGGATAACTAGGCCAGGCAAGTTGTTAGACTAGAGCTTTCTTTGCTCTAACTTGTATTTGAAGAGCCCCACTGGGAATAAGATCTCAGAGTCTCACCTGCTTTGCCTGGGACTTCCAGTCAGGACCCTGAAGTGTTGCCCCAGGACTGCCAGCTACAGGGCTTCAGGTGTTGGTGTTTACCCAATCTGGTGATGTAATTTCTTCTCTTTCTTTCTCAACTATCACCTTTGCTTCTGCTTCCATATTATTGCTAAAAGAAACATTACCCAGTGTAAATTGAGTGTCTTCATTGCCTTTTGGATCTGATGTACAAAATTCAGGAGGTGCACAGGTGTTTAATACTTTCACATCACAAATACATGTATGTGTTATATAATCTAATCAGTAATTAGCACATCTTTCACCTCAAATATTTTTCTCTGCTATGGGGAGAAATTTGAGCCTATTTTCTTACCTCTAAGTACATAGTGCATTATGAATAGCTGTAGTCACCCTGTTATGTAATTGCCTCTCTGCTCTCTGGCTTTGTGTCTGTCCACATGATTTTTTCTTTCCCATCCTCCTGACACAATGTCACACAGCATACTGGGACATAACAAAGTGTGTACCCCCCAGAGGCCAAACTGATGGAATCCAGATCACCTTGATCCTGGACTTTCAGCCTTCTGAAGTTTTGAGTAAATGACATTTTTATTATAAAGTAACTAGCCTTGGGTATTAGAGCAATAGAAAAGGGACTCTCACAGTGTCATTCAACTTAAATTTTTATGTATTGTTTTTATATTTATATTTTTTAAACAAATAGAAATAGGAAACTAGAATGTCTGTGGTAGTAGAGTGCATATTTACCTGTGTGGCTGTATTTACCATTTTTTCTTGTTATTTCACATGGGCTCAAGGTACTGTCTTTCATCCTTTCATTTATGCTTCATAGCTCTATTAGCATTTCTTGAGAGGTTGTTACTGACAACAAACTGCTCAGGGTACAAATTCACCTTTGTCCTTTGAAGCCCAGTTTTTCCTTGAATAATTTTTCTTTTTTTTTGAAAAGAAAGAAAAAGAATGTTTATTGCTTTTCTCACAAAGGAGAAACACAGGGGACTCTTGTCCCAAAGACAACGATTCTCCATCCACAGGAATAGGGGGCTTTTATAGAGGTGATTTAAGGGCTACTTTCCACATGTTCTCTTTTGGAGTTTTAATTCACTTGTTAAATTTGGGAGATAGTCAATTCTGAGTTCTTGTGATACCATCCCCAGAGT